CCTTCCTCTTTTCACTTACACTTTGCCTAGGTGCTCTCATTCATGCTTTTGGCTTCAAATTCTACCAACATGCAGCTGAGTCTCAAAATTAAATCAGTTCAGACTCTGACCTGGCTCACAATTGCATACAAGTTGACATCTCTTGGATGTCCCAAAAGCACCCCAACACTAGAACCAACACCAAAACTAAATTTACTCACTATTTTCTTCTTCAAATCTGCCTTCCATTGTTTCCAATCTCAGGGAATGGTATTCAAACCAGAATCTTGGAGCCATCCTTGTGGACTCTTTCCCCTTTGTATTATATCCAAACTGTTAACAAATTCTGCATGTTTTAGTTCACAAATACTTCTAAAATTACCTGCTTCTCTATATACACTATCATCACCTTAATCCAACCTAGCATCACTTTTCACAACTCTCAATGGTGACTTCTGATTAATCTCCAGCATCTATCCTGGCAGAATTCCACCCTGTTCTCTAAGCAGCAGCTGGAGTAATGGTTCCAAAATGCAAATCTGATCAGGTTGGTCTTTGGGTTAAACCCCTTCAATGGTTTCTTCTTGTTTGGGGAATATGGACAAAACCCCTTGCAGGGAATACAAGGCCTTCTGGTGTCTGTCTTCCTCCTGTTTCTCCATCCAACTTCATATCACAGCTCCTTCTCCCTTACTCATTATAGGCAAACAAAATTTGCTTTCCAGTCCTCCATACATGACATTTTCTCTCCTACCACAAGACATTCATGCATGTTGTTCCTCTGTCTAGGAAGCTCTTTTCTTCTTTTTTTTTGTTTTGTTTTTTTTTTTTTTTCTGTCTAGTATTTCCTACTTTCCATTTAGATCCAAGTCAAGAAACATGTATGTACTGGAGGAGGCTTTGCTCAACCTCCCTGAAAAGGTCTGCTCCCTTAGCCACAGACCTTTCTTGCTTCACAGAACTCTCCTTCATTCGGTTACAATTTTGCATGTTTTTGTGATAATATCTGTCTCATTTGGCACATCATTTTACCTAGTTCAATCCTTAGCACATAGTAGGTATTTATTATTATTTGTTGAATGAGTAAACTAATGTTTCTTTATTCAACCTTGTGGGTTTTTATTTACTTAACCTGTCTCTAGGTCCCCCTCACTTTTCATCTCTGAAGGGATATTTAGGGACCACAAACTCATTTTTAATATTAATATAGTTCTGTGGCTTTATAACTAGAGTGTGCCAGGAACCTGTATTTAAGGCATGCCAGGCATCAATTTTACTCTACAATTTGAGGCCAAATAATAATATTTGTACCTTAAAGTACATATGTAATAAAGAAGAACCCCAAATTTGTACTGGATTGTAACACAAATCTTCTTCATTCTTTGAGAGAAATACACTTGGCACAGGCCACTTTAGGCTCAGCTCCATGAAATCTGGGAGTAAGCAATCATTCTCCTCTGTCATTAGGGACATATTTAAGTAAAAAATTAAAAAGCACTGTTAGAAGTTTGTATGTAATTAGAAAATAAACAACTTTTATGTTCTCTAGAAATAAAAGTAACTGGTTCTAAATTGTCTGCTATTTGGATTGCATATTCTCCTCCTAGAAACTGGTCTACAGATACAGAAAAAGGAAGACAAGATTATTAAGGGTTATAGTGATTCTCAGAAAATAGTCCCCTAAGAGTCAGACTGAGTTGAATCCATGGCAGGGAATTTTCCCAGAAAGGTCCCTGGCCAGGGATGTAGCGGTCAAGTCCTGATTTCCTCCCAGCAACACATGCATTTATTTCTAGCCTAATTCTGTCTCAAGACACCTACCTGGTCTTCTTCAAATAGACATACCTGGCCTCATACCTAGCTTTAAAGTCCTGCATTGCTTCACCCAGAGAAGGCCTCATGTGACCCTTTGCATAGGGCCTAAGAAACGTTGCTCCCACTGCTAGACTAAGAATTGCTGCAGGGCTTCTCTACTCATAACTCCCAAGAAAAATCCAAGGCCCCCACAGTGACCACAGTGGAAAGAAAGTGCTCTTAGAATGTAACCACTAAAACATACTATATACATCCTTACTTCCACTACTTTCCACTACTTTAGTTACATACTTTCACTATGCCCAACAATTTTCAAGGGATATAAGCAAGTGGTCCATGACTAAGTCCCCCAAATGCTCACACATAGTCACCAAGACATTAACTCAATACGTACAGTATGAAGAAGATTGGTTGAAAAACTCATTCATAAATAAAGAGGCTAGCATTTGTGGTTGCATTTACTATATATTCAACTACACTTCTATATTTTACCTTATTTAATACTAGGTGTTATGTGGATCATTTTCTAGGTGAGAAAATTAAGGCTCACACAGACCTAGTACATGTCCCAAGTAAATATAAAGACCTCAGACTCAGACCCAAAGTTGTCATTCCCATAAAATTCCTGCTCCTACTATGTTCATTCAACTTCCCTTTCAACTTCCCTCTATGTGTTGTCATCATTCCTTCTATCAAAAGAATCATCACAGAACTGTATCCCCATCACAGAAAAAAAAGACCCAACCAATCTCCAAGGATGACATAGAGAAGTTTAGAGTCATCCTGTTCCATTGTAATTTATGGGAACTACTAAGGACATTAACACTGCAATACTCTTTTAGGGAGTATGCTCTATTTGCAATGGATTTTAAATACAAGCAAAATGAACATTTTCACTAGTAGATGACAATAAATAAAAATAACTAGTTCCCAGACAAAATTAAGAGATCTGTGCCAGAACAGTGCTCCAGTAACAATGAATCACTTTTGTAGGTGGACATTATAAAACTCCCCACCTCTAGTAATAGTGACACCACCCTTGGAAACCACAGTGCCACACCTAGCTGTTACTGCAAGGCTCTGGACCCAGGCAACCTGCAAACCTTCCTGCCTCTATCAGTCTATCCTGTCTATCCTCTACATTTACCTTTGAATGTATCAACCAGACCCCTCTTTCCCTGTACTCAAACCCACCAATGTGGGTCCATTTTCTTACTAACATGCAGGAAAGCCTAACCTACATGCCTTATTTTAGTGAATGCCCAAAAGGCTGGAATTGCCCCCACATAAATGGTTTAAAATTTTGGTGGAGGAGTTTTTGTTGTCATAAGGATTGAGGACCAGTACTAACTGAAGAGAGAAAGGACACCTGGGATTTATGTGTCCTGTAATGTGCAGAAGCATCTCACGCAAAAATTGCCCATGTTGTACACTTCTTTTGAATAACCTTCTGAAGACCTATTTGTTGTTATCTGAGTCTAGAGTCCAAATTATTTTTACATACAAAGACAGAAAATTTTCTGAATGGCTTAAAACTTCCCAAATTTTCCAGGAACGCAAAGTACTGTACACTGTATATTTTGCAAGAAGATTTACTTTGTTCTAATTAAAAATTTTTTAAAAGGTGGGTTTGCAAATTGGGAAAATCACAGCACTACTGGTGCATGACTTCCCTCATGGTATTTAATTCAGCAATGTATCCCATGGGTATTGGTTTGCCTGTGTGGCTGTTGCACTCAAGGAGATTCTTCGTAAAGGAAGAAATGTTAGTGACATTTACATACTAAAACACACATTATTGTACCAGGTGTTGGTTCATACCTGTAATCCCAGCTAAGTGAGAGCCAAAGATGGATGGATCGCAGTTGAAGGCCAGCCCAGACAAAAATTTTAGATAAACCCTATCTCAAAAAAACAAGCTAGGTCTAGTAGTGAAATCCTGCAATCCCAACCAGGTAGAAGGCATAGGTAGGAGGGTTATGGTCTGAGGCCAACTGGCCCCAGGTAAAAATGTGAGATTATATCTGAAAAGTAACTAAAGTAAAAAGGGTTGGTGTTGTGACTCTTAATACTGCCCTCCCCCAAAAATTATTTATACAGATGTATTTCCTTTTATTTCTTATATTAAGATTGGGATTTTATATTGATTTGTTTTAATTACACAAATAGGGAGATTTTATTACCACTGAATATCATTGCGGATAGTAGAGATATGAGAAAATACTGGGCTTAACCAGGGAATGTTGGATGTGACAGGGTTGAGAACATTGTCCTTAGTGGCATGCCCAGTATTAAATTTGACTCTCAACTTTACTCTGCCCACCACCTCCCCACTTCACCACACTGATCTTTCTGCTTTCCCCTCCAGCTGGTCCACCTCAGAGTCTCTGCCCTTGCTGTTTCTCTACTTGAAGTACCCATCATGTGGGTAAGAGGTCCCCCAAAACCACCACTCTTTATGTCACTCTTTTCCCAACCATTGTTAAAATTCTTCCACAGCATCTATCTCCACCTAGAATTCTATCGTAATATTTATTTACCTGTCTCTTCTTTGTCTCTGTCATAGGATTATGCACTTAGTGAGGGAGCTGGGGGAGGCACTTTGGATGCCAGTGCCTGGAAAATAATGGAAGTGGCACAAAGTGAGCACTTGGTGAATATTTGCTAAGTGAATGAATTAATGCATGAAGATATTGCCTGTGTTCCTGCTCCCTAGGAGTTATGAGGAATATTCTTCTTTTTTCTATCTACATAATTTATAGTCAATCTAAGTCAGCATTAATTCTTTCAAATATATCCATCAAATGCCTGCTATATTTCAGGCACTGAGAATACAATAATAAATAAGCATCTGCCCACATACTTTGCAACTAATGATCAGCTTCAAAATCTCTGAAGCACGTGAGTCCTATGACAAAGTGACTTTATTTTTAAAAGTCTATTTCTATTTGCAATCTGAGTATCTTTAAAATACAATAATTGCAATCTTCATAAATTAGGAGGTATCCCTTATATGCTAATAAGAAAATTACATGCAGAAGAATTTTTACCAATATGGAAACAGCCTTCCCCCAGTGATATACTTCAAATCCCAAAAACATCATCCCTCAGAAATGGATGCAAGTTGCTAAAAGCTGGGCAATGTTTAAATGTGTGGAAGCTTCTAGTTCCCTTAAGTGGGGTGGGCTGCAGACCTCTCTACCTACCTGGCTGAGATAAAGTCTCCCATCTGATGTACAGAGGACCCATCTATCCTCTGAAGGACTCCACCAGATAGAAACATCCAATCCATCCTCTTTCTTAGATTTCCAGGTCAATCCAGCATCAACTGATGGCACATAGTCAGCGGGGATGCTCCAATCAGGAGTTGATCTTTTAGGCCCCATCATTTCCCCACTTTGTAACCAGATGCTTTTTGTACATACTGAAGAGAAAGACGAAAGCAACCTGAAAACCATGTTGTATTTGTACAGAGCTGTATCATTGACTTTCTCATCCATTTTCACATCTGTGAGAAAGATAATACACCTTGTTTCTATAAATAAGCAAATTAAATTTTAGACGCTTAGCAACTTTGCAAAGCTGAAACTTACACGTAGGTCCTCCGATGATTCCAACTCAGGAAGTAGAAATGACAGGCTAAAATCAGACTTGTGGGACATCCATAGCCTTTAGTTCTCACTGGTATTGACCCTCACATAAGGAGCTGGTTGAATCACACCCTGATCAAACATGAATAAGCACCAGTGCGATGCCTACTTGGGCACACCCTCTCCCTGGTCTCGCTCCCACCCTTTGTCCTTATGATTCAGTGACATCTGGCTAATTTTCCTAGAAAGTTTCTAGACATGAGCAACCCTTAGAGTGGGCCGGAATGAACACACAGCCTTATCCTGACTTTTAACAGTGCAAATAGGAACAGTCTCTTTCCTCCCTCAAAATGCTGTCGAGCAGCCCCACTACAATACATTGAGATGGGGAACTAGACTAGGTACTGGCATTGTGGTTGGAAAATGTGACATTTCCTTTCCCTAAACTCCCTCCCCCACATCCACCACACACATTAATTTTTCCTTTCAAGTCAGGGCTTCTATCAAGAATAGGACAACTTAATAATAAATGAAAGGCTCCAGGAAGTGATTTTGAGAAATTTCTAGCTCACGCCAGTATCCTCCAAAGGGCAGAGCCACAGGTCTGGTAGACGATACTTAATATTACCCATTTCACTAACATAACTGAGAAAGCTAAAGCTATATCTCACTAAAAGAATTTTAAATACATTTAAAGTACTGCTACTTGAAAGAATTTCAGGAGTTTCAACTTTTTATTAACATGCATATGTCAAAGGGAAAAGCACCAATCTTGGTCCAGAGTCCTGATTTCCCCATCAACTACCCACCGTTTAGCATGATTTAGTTAAACCTATATGTGAATCTTCCCCCATACACCCCAGCTTCCTCAGAGTACAAGTTCATGGCTGCGTCCTCTGGTTGTCCATGGAGATACCCACATGAGAGAAAGTAAGAGAGATGCTGACTCTCTCCAACAGTCAAGGTTAGGTCTCTTCTCAAGTTTCCTTGGTTCACCTGAGGTGGAGGTCAGTTCTTGGCAAGGGCAGTTCCTTCTAGCTAATAGGCTAGAGGCAGCAATGTGTGATGGAGACATCCAGACCAGCCCAAAATAGAAGCCCAAGCTACATCACAATCTGACCAAGCTCCTAACCTGGCTGAATGTGGTCAAGGAAACATGAGACAAGGAAAGACAGCAGAAGTGAATACAAGATGAGAGGAGATGAGACTATGGCTTGTTGAAAATTGGGAATTATAAAAATATTTACATACAACCCTCAAAGCTTACCCTGCAAACAGGAAAGGTATACAAACTTCGCAGTAAAGAGCATTACAGCATGAAAGCATTAACCTTCTGGGGGCAAGCCCATCTAACTTAATGCTGGCAATTGCTCTGCTGCTGTGTCATTTATCCCACTGAAACAAAGAGCAATGATTACATTTCGCCCTTAGATGAGGCCATGATTGATGAGCTTTAGCCCGAAAGCCCTGGGAAGGCAAAAGTATAGCAAACAAAGACAGAACAAGAGAGTATTCTCTATATGACCCCAACCATCTCCTAACCTAAGAGACAACACCTTGGGCAAAGTGAGAATGTCCTTAGAGCATCACTGGATATTTTCCCCTTTGAATACAGGCCAATCAGCCCTTTTGTGTTCTCAGAGGTAAAAGACAAGAACCACAGTTGTTCCAAAACCTGTGACCTGGCATCTTGGTTGCTATGTGCTTCATATAAAGCAAAGGATTAAAAGGCTGTGTCGGTCTGGGTAAGCAGAGAGATGCAGCAGACAACCAAACCTCCACGAGACAATGAAAATCAGAAAGGAAGGAGCAGAGAAAAAATGGAGATGGGGGAAGTGAAAAGAGAGGAGGTCTGGGATTCCCAAGGAAACAGCTTTCCTTTCTCTTCCCAATCCTCCAGGGAGGAATAAATATGATTATCAACCTACCATGATGTCATTCAAAATAAAAGAGGCACCTGCCAGGTGACCATCTCTGCCGGGACTCGAACCCGGAACCTCTGGATTAGAAGTCCAGCGCGCTCGTCCATTGCGCCACAGAGACCTCACCACACACACAGCATCAGCACCAGAACTGAAAAAGCACATACCTTCTGCATCACCGAGCCATCTCAGCATCCTGCTCTCTGAGCGGTGGGGGGACAGGGACAGTTGGAAAATCTGGAGTGGAGATCCACCAGCCGGCTCCATAAAAGATTTTCTCATTACCGTGGGTCCTAGGATTCTCAGAGGATTGGAGGAATGTGACAGTAGTCATTTTTCCAGTCCCAGAATCCCTGATAGAGTAGGATAGAGCTAGATAGTCTTTGAGCTCCTTCCCTCTCCATCCCTAAGGGAGGATGGGGAAAATCTCTCCATTCTTATGCTAATGAAGCAGAGCACACCCAGCCTGATCGAGAAGGCAGAAGCCATCTCTACTTCCACCCCCATCCCCTCACTGTGGTTTCATCCCAGTCCAGCAATTCTCAGGCAGGGGCTGGGCAAAGCTGGGGGATTCAGGAAAACCCTCGATCTGATCTCAGAGACAAAGGAGCTGCTTCTGTAAAGAAACACTGAACTGAGCAGTGGCAGAGAGTGGCAGGAAAGCTAGCCTGCAGGAGACTGGTCTGGGTTCTCAGCTTTAAGAACGGTGTCTGTCAAGCTCAGAGAAGAGGTACCAGGAGTCTGGCTTAATATGATGTTCATTCAGCATCGTCACTAGAATTAAAGATGGGAATGGAGACTCAAATAGTGTAGAGTGAGTATGTGTGAATGTGTGTGTCTGTGTGTGTGTGTGAGAGAGAGAGAGTCTGTGTCTATATGTACATCTAAGGAGGGAGGGTGAGGGTGGTAGACAGGTGGCCTTCCTGCAGCCCTCCCTGAATACCTATGTCCCTTCCCCCACCATCACCAGCCCCAAGTCCCTGCCACTCTTTTCTCCCAGGTTTGCCAAGTTTAAGGCAGGAGGATTTTTCTGATATTTGGGCTTGCTAGCAGCATTTTAATAAGATTACATTGACCATTCCTCCATAATCACATGTAAAGACCCAGCTTAGATCCAAGAAAACATTTTCTATTTTTAAAAATCTCCCGGAGAGACAATTCCATAAGCACTGTTGTTTATAATTTCCACTGTGCCAGTTCTTCTGAATGTCTAATCCAAGTTCATCTTATGAATGAAAATGAACTCAGCTCATTTTCTATTGTTTGGTTCCCAGACACATTGGGATGACTGACCTCTACACTCCTGATGACAATGCATTGACTTAAAGACTTGACTCAGTGTTCACCACCCAACTCCCACTCAAAAGGTTATAATAAAAGCAGGGAGCTGACTCAAACTCCTTTCCTCCTTCCTCACTATGTGTTTCTATAGCCCACAGCTCTGGACAGTGTAGCAGACTCCAATCACAACCCAAGATAGTTCTAACCTGTGAGACCAAGACAAGTAAAGGAGGCATATGACTCCATGGCATGCTTAGACTGGAAAAACATTAAGGACCCTTCTAACTCTAATACTGTAGGTGTATGTCACACTTTCTACATACAGCCCAAGAATGAGACCTAGTAGAAAACATGACCGGGTGATTCAGCCAAGGCAAGGATGGAAGCAGAAGATCCTTTCATCCACCTGGAGAAAAGAAGCTACTTCAATGAAGCTTGCCTTCCACATAGGACCTACAGACAGGAACTCAGAAGTATCAAACTGACTGTGTGCATTTATCATAAACAAAAGGAGGCACAGAGTCAGTCTTTCTTAACACATGTACTTTAAACAACAACCTGACCCACAACTGCCAGTCAGAAACTGGCTGAATGCCAGTCAGACTATTACTCTGAGTGGCCACAAATAAGATACTGTTCAAGGAGCAAGACAAGAAGTCCACGTGTCTCTAAAGGGAAGCTCAATAGCATAGGCCAGCAAGGACCCACTCTGATGCAAAGGAAAGGCAAGGCTAGACTCTCGGGAAGTATCCTGCTGGGTTCCGTGTTCCTTTAAACACACACACACATATACACACACGTGCACACACACACACACACACACACACACACAAACAGAGTTCTTCACAAAGATACTGTCCTACACTCAAAAAATCTATCAGTCTCCTACTTCTGCCCAAAGTTTCACTGCTTCTTAGATCATGTGTTCTGTGCAACTGAAGGTAGAGGCCCTACTCTCCAGCTCCCTCCAGGAGATTCGTTCACTATCTACAATGTTCTCATTTGGAAATGAGAATAAAATGGTGAAGGATAAATAATGGCATGGTCCCACCCTCAAAGACCCTGGGGATAAATTCTAATGTAGAAATTACTCTGAAAGATGTATGCCACCAAATAAGGCATGCCAAGCCCACACAAAGACTGTAACTCTGGAAGCACAAAGATCCAGCTTCAATAGCAAGCTGTGCAGCTTGTGTGCTTTGAGATACTGAGAAAATTAGTCAATTTCTCTGATCTTCCATTTCATCATTATAAACACAAGGCAGTAACATACACTTTCAATAAAGATAAGCTGATATTTCACAGTGCAAAGTGCTTGTCCCCTTCCTTCCTCTAGTTCATAAGTTATAATTCTAAACCTTATTGCCTGGGTCACTTCATTTCCTTTGAAGACCTTTCCGTCACTTTCCTATAGAAATCTCTCCATTCTAGCAAACAAAAAAAAAACAAAACAAAACAATAACAACAACAAAAAAACACCTGCCAGTAATAAGTCTACCCAGGACTCCCTATAATCTTTATCAACAAAAAATATTCTGGGCTTTGTCTCTT